ATCTTGTTTGCCCCTGGCAGAATCTAAGCTCTTGAGTTGGTTGACAATTGGAATGGCATATAAACTTATCTGCCTCTATGCTGTCCTGAATTAGTTTGTTTGTTTAGCATTAAAATTAGGTGCATAGTCTGTGGATGGTACTATTTTTTTTGTGTACTTTATCTATACAAGTAGTCCTCGACTATCAGTCATTCATTTAATGACTGTTCAAAGTGGTTGAAAAAAGTGACTTATGATTGGTTCTCACATTGCAGCATCCCCATGGTCACACGATCAATATTTTGGGACTTGGCAACTAGCATGTATAAATGACAATTGCATTTATCAGGAGTGATGTGATCACCATTTGCGACCTTCCCAATTGGCTTTTGACAAGCAAAGTCAATGGGAGAAGCCAGATTCACTTAATGACCACAATTCACTTAACAACCGCAGTAATTAGCTTAACAACCATGGCAAAAATGAGGTATTTAGTTTTGGTTTCCAGAAAAATTGCCCATTGGGGAAAATGGATTTGCTTAATAACTGTGTTTGCCTAATGACCACCATTAAAAAAAAGAGTTGTAAGTTTGAATCTAGTCACATGATATCTTAATTTACGACCTCAACTATTTAACAACTTTAATTCCAGGCTCAATTGTGGCCATAAGTCAAGAACTACTTGTACAGTTTCTAGCATCTCATTGATAGCCACGCTGAAAACCCAATAAAAGTCCAAATAATCTTTACTTTTGCAATCTGAGGGTCACAATTTACTTCTGTGGTCTAAAAAGACAGTTACAGCTGCACATATCTTGCCCATCAGAGGTTGAAGTATGATGTCATAATGTTGTTGCACTTTAATGGGATGCTCATCGATCCCTACAATTATACAATATCCAGTGAGTTATCTTTTAAATTAGAGGGGGGAAATAAAAATGGTTGTACTTGCTGCCAGAAAACATTGACATTGATATGTTACAACTTTAGACAATACATTGCATCGATTATCATTTAGATGACAGGGCATGATGACCATCTATATTTTAAAAAAGGATTTTAACACGAATAGATCTTTATCATTCCCAGTGATATTAAATGTTAAACTTTTTTTCTCTTGATTATATAGGAAAAACTCAGATGAAGCTGATCTGGTTCCTGCCAAGGAAGCTAACATCAAGTGTCCACAAGTGGTCATTTCATTTTATGAGGAAAGGCTCACATGGCACTCTTATCCCTCAGAGGACGATGATAAGAAGGATGACAAGAATTAATCTGCTTGTCCTTCTGTCCTCATCCCTCCTTTGGCTGACTTTTGTATTAAAATACCAGACTGTGGGTTTGAACATAAGGGAGAAGTGAAGAAGCTCTTGGCTGAGGAGGATGCCCTCTGTAGAAACAGGACAAGATTTCTCCCTATGACAGTGTGTTTATGTTTATATATATATGTATATGTATAAAACATATATATTCATATAACATATATATTCATAATCTGTCACCTTGATTGGAAGAATGAAGGCCACCAACAGAAACAGCAAGTGGAGGTGGCATGTTCCCTAAAGATCACCTGAAATTTGCAGCCTTTTTCTCAAATAGTGTTAACTGCCTTTTTAGCATGTATGTGTAGGTTTCATGCCTTTTTTGGATATTATTTGTGTATTGTTGGGGTGGGAAGTGTAGGTATGTTCCAACTGACTTGAGACAAAGAGTGGTTCACAGTATTCTATAGCCAGAGTCATTTTTTTTAAAAAAACAAAACAAAACCATCTTACTGCAATTAAATTAAGTTACTCTTAATTGAGTAAGATTACTCGATTTTGAAATGCTGGAGCAAAAATGTCTTAAATGTTAAAATTAACAGTTGAGACTGCTAATACAAGAATTATCATTGCATCTAAAATTAGAAAAGATGAAAATTTAGACCCTGTAGTTGATCTGGCAACACCTTGTTCTAAATAAGTTTTCTTGTATGCATCTTTCTAATTTCTTTTCCCACAAAATTACTATTTTTTAACTTTCCTGTATGTATGTGAACTTGAGAATCTAAATGAGTGGCGTCGAGAAGAAATCAAAAGAAAAACTTTCTACAGCACAAATAAGTTACAGAATATTCTGTAAACATTTTCTGTCAGACTTGGGCATTAATTATTACTTTCTTTGTCTTGCCCAGCAATTTCAATTTTAATAAGACTTCTGTTTTTACAAAGGACATAATTTTACCAATGACTTTGCTCAATTCCTAGTAAGCCACCAACTCCTTCACAGAGCAGTATGTACGTAGAATTGTATTGTACAAATCTTTTTTAAGATACAGCATGTGTAGGCTTCTGTGAAAATGTCTAAAACTTAAGTGTTTGGTTTTAACTTCATAATGACCTGTCTTTTTGTCTTAATAAAATTTTAGATTTATAATCCTGATCTTTCTTTTTCTTTTCCCTCTAGGCAAGGTCTTCCTTGCAAATATTACATAATGGGACATGACTCTAGAATTTAGGGGAAACATACATGGCTTTAAATTTGTTCATGACATTGTAAAGTATACATCATGTAGACAATTATGTCCTGTTACTATAGTAAGATATGGAGTGACAAAATATCCTGTTTAGTGTACTACAAATGGCACATCTTAAACATCTTAAAGCTAAGACATTTAAGCCATTTCTCATCCTTGCTTCTAATTAGTTAAGTAGTATCCTGTTTCCCTGAAAATAAGACCCAACTGGAAAATAAACCCTAGCATTTTTCAGGATGCTCGTAATGTAAGCTCTATCCCAAAAATAAGCCTGTTAAGATTGCCAGTCAGATGGGACACATTTAGCACTATGTGTGAAGGTTCCAACAGATGCCATAATTAACATGTTTCCCTGAAAATAAGACCTAACTGGAAAATAAGCCCTAATGCATCTTTTGGAGCAAAAGTTAATATAAGACCTGGTCTTATTTTGGGGACATGGGTAGCTATATTACCCATGTATATAACTAATATGTGAGTGTTGTAACGCCCTTCTGGGTTTTTTTACTTTTTTATTAATTTACATTACCTTTTATTTTAATTACTAGCTTCTGCATTTTCTCTGGAGAAAACTAAGACTCTTACACACAGCTTAATATGCTACTTATAACCACCACCTCCTCTATGAGCTAGAAAGCTAGTAAACAAGCAAGGAAAAACCATAATCTTAAAGCATTAGTAAGATTTCTTTTTGTATCTTTTTTTCTTAAATGGCAGTAGAGAAATCAGAGCCTGCCCAAGTCCTGGGGGATTTGCAAATTTGTATCCAAAGCACATCTTTGCTAGCTTGCTGTCATGCAACAAACTGAACAAGAGAACAGAATGTTAATATTGGAACAGTTCTTCATGCCTACTGAACTTGTTCTATAAGTGACACAAACATTAATGGGGTTAAATGAAGAGACAATACACCTGAAAAGTGTATGTTAAGACATGGGAACATCCGACTTTTCCAGGACCTAACCATGGGTAAATTGCATTACAATTCAGCAAATCTATGCTAAAAGCTTTTTAATATTTGTTTTCTACACAATAAGTTGTCTGATAACACGTTAGTGAAGATACAAACTGAATTGAAAATGTGGTTGACCCCAGCTAATGGAATCAAACTGGAAGTTGTGATCTAAATGTCTACAGGGAACACGGTTAGCATTGGAGAAGGAAGTATTGCACATTCAGCATATCCCTGGATACATTATTCCAGGAACAACACTATTTTTAGTGCAAAACAAAGCTAGAAGCCAGGAATATACCATATGTGGGCTACTTTTACAATAAATTTTACTTCAAATACATTCTGAAAATGGCTTGTTCTAATTGTACCATGAACATTTTGTGATAGTTCTTTTAAACAATCCAGTTCTTGGCTAGGTCAGATTTTTTTAGAGTACCAAATTATAATTCATTAATTTTTGCAAACGGAATTCACATGAAGTCAATTCACTAGATCAGTGGTTCTCAGCCTATGGTCCGTAGACCCTTGGGGAACCTGCAATGTCATTACAGGTTTGCAAAGACTTGGAGAAATGTTACCATTTTGAATTAAGTCTTGGAGGGCCATGGCCACGGTCTGGCCACAAAAGGTATTTAAAAGGGATCAGTGGTGAAGAAAATGTTGAGAACTGCACTAGATGAAACATTCTAAAGAAGAGGCCCAAATATCTTACTGAAAAATCCCCTTTCCCCCCCCAATACATATTGCTGTAGCCCAATTACTATAGTAGATGTTTTCAAATAGGTATTCTTTTCTTGTGCCTCCATATCATAATCAGAAGCAATGCTGCACTATATCAGCTGGTTGAAAGTCTGAACTGCAGTTCTATTAAGTGTAAGATAGTTACTAATTTTATGTGCAGGTATTAATCCAATATGATTCTTTTGGTTACCAAAACTATCAGTATCTGATTATCGATACTATTCCATATAATTTCAGCTATTTGGGGGGGAATTATGTACAATATTACTTAACAATATTACTACTTACTACACAAAGTTTCCTTAACGAACACTACTTTATGGCAATGCATTGTTCTATCTCATATAACATTTGACATAACATAGCTTGTTTGTCTGATGTTTAAACTCAAACATATGAAACCTCTGCTGAATTCCCTTTATATAATCCTCCCAAGAGGTTTTTCAATCAGTTGCTCCAGCTAAAATTTGCTTCTTTCTACAAATGTGAGAGTGGTACACACTGTTTTACAGAATTTGTTAAAGAAAATAAATCAATCTGTAAGGAGATATGACTATATATACTTACACAAAACTAACCAGCAGATTCTTCATTCATGGTCTTGAAAGCATACAAGATTAGTTTCACAAAAGGAAAGTTTTAATAACCACTAATGCACTCCTATTATCACAGCTAATGCTATCTGTGCATTTACTGTGACTATAATTTAAGGCAGCAGAGTTTCATCAGCCTACAGAAGAGTAATAAGAGCATTGCTATAAATATATACATTAGGTTTAGTCCTAGGTAAAGAAGACACACAAAACAATGTTCAAATAGTGAATAAGCCATTTTATTTTTGTCCTGTGCTCACACTCTCCTCACTTTCCCAATAGCTCATAGTAGAAACCATTCAGAACAAAACCTCAGAAATAAATTAACACATGCACGCAACAGGGCTCCATCCTACCCATCCAACTACTCACAGCTCCAACACATTTTGTGCTTCAAATTTCATGCTCTTAATTCCAAAAGCATGAGAAATGGAGAAGGCTTCATACATATGCTTAGTATCCACTCTCATGTTTTTTCTGGAAAAGGTCTTGGCCTTCAAAAAAACCTAATATGTTTGCAAACATTGCTTTATACCATTTAAACCAATGCACTCCATCTACAATCCTCAGGAGGATGCCCATTTCAGTGTTATTCCCTCACATATCATCACATACACAGGACTGAGTGGCTGGAAAAAAACCAAAGCCATTTAGCTCTACAGTTGCTGGTCAAGTCAGTAATACTTCCAGCTGTGCTATACTGCAAGTTAACAGCTTCGGGGATGGCCTCAGAGCTTGAGGCTAGCTGTGTTCAAGGCACTACCCTCACCCTTCGCCTTATTTATTTTTTTCAATGGAGGAAGGGGGAAGTTGGAATGACATCCAAGGACAGAAGGGAAGCCAGCTGTGGAATCACCGTTAACACATTTTGAGTCTTTATGGCAGAAAAAACTTTCAGTAGCTTTGATCTTCGGGGGAAGTACCACCCTTCTATCCTACATGCATACTATTAAGTTCATTCTATAGCCCTACAGGGGAGAGGAAACAATATAGGAACCTAGAGTTCTAAAAACATAATAAATTAAAATCAAAGTGCCCATTCAAAAAGAGGCTTGCTGTAGATGGCTTTTAACACAGCATGCCCACTTAATAGAAGCAAAACCCGCTGTGGTGTAGACCAAATGGTGATGGTCACACACCTTGCAGACTCTAGTCAAATGAAGATCTATACTTTTGGCCCTACACTTCCCTTCACCCAAAGCAGTCTCTCTAAGCCAATCAATGGGAAAAGACAGCTTTATAGCATGCAATTTTACCATGCACCATCATGTTGTAATGCATCTTGATATTGGCCCAGAATTAATGCTGGCTCCTCACTGGGGGCAAGTAACATCTTTAAAGTATTCAATTGGTAAGGGATGATAAAGATGCATTTCTATAGTAATCCTATTAACACTTTCCACTCCTACCCTGCCAAATAATTGTGGTAATTGCTGAAGTACAAAATGGTAGTACATATAAACTCCTTGAAGGGGAAATTCTTACTTTCAGCTTGAAGGAAATGTTTCTTTTCTCTAGTACAATTTTCTGTGCTCCCTCTGTAGTTAAGTACATAAAGATTTACGAAGAAATCATGGCTAAGTATTCAGATTTAGGCATGGTTTTGAACTGCATATAATTGATGCCAAATTAGTTTTAAAAAATCCAACCAGCTACCTGAAATATCCAAGACTTGTGAATTCAAAGGAAAAAAAATACTCTTAGGTCTTCTCAAGCTATCCATTTAACATTTCTTCCTTTACAAAAAGCCAGCCTTAACAATTCAATTTTTTTTTATCCTCTGCTGATATTTCCCCCCTCCCCCCTGCAAACACACATTATGCCAGCTAATTCACACTCTCATAATGTTCAATTGGTTTGAGGCTTTTGGAAGCACAGGTCTTTCCCAACATGCTTTGCCATTCCGCCTCACAAGACTTGTAGGCCCCCTGCCCAGCAGTCTGCTCCTATACACTGGCTGGCAGCTATCATGGTTTGAGAAGATATATTGGATAAGAAGGCATGAAAGTTCCTCCAAATTCTTCTGGGCTCAGCCCTTCTTGAAGTTGCAGATTCAGCAAGTTTTATGCTTTCCAAATGATATTCATCATTTTTCACTTCCTCCTGTCTTTCTGTTTCCTCTCTTGACGCCGTCCCTGCTGGTCAGCCAAGGAACGTGGTATTAGAATAACACTGCCATTACTGGCATGCTGTAGAGCATATTGATTTGGAGAATAGGGCTGGCCATTCTCATCACGCAGACGGCCAAATACCTCCTGGTAAAGGGTCTGCATCTTTTGCTTCATTTGGCGGATGGACCTGAGGAATTCCACCTTCTCCCTGAGGAGCTTTGATTTGTCTCTCTGCAAATCATCTACATCCCGCTCCAGATTGAGGATAGTGTCCAGTTTTCTTTTACGACAATTCTGGGCTGCCATCTTATTCTTACCCCTTCTGCGAATGTCACGGATTAGACTCAGCTGTGCTTCACTTAACTGATACTTGGACAGGAGTTCATTGAATTCCTCTACTGGTAAATTGATGATCTTTTCATTGGGAAAAGGAATCTTCATGGCTCTGGCTCTATGTTCATCTCTACTCATCTGCTTATCTAGAAAATCTGCTTGCTTTTCTTTGGAACTCTTCTTTCCCACATTAGCTCGCTGGGACTCATCAGTGTCTAAGGTCCTGGGGGCCATGTTATATGTGTGATTGTGACCCACATGCTCAAGATAAGGCAGGTACTGCAACTGAGGAGGATTCTGGTAGCTCATCCGACAGAACTTGCTATATTCTGGCTGATACCCAACAGCTCCTTCTGTATCTTCAAAGTCCACATTTTCAGTATCAGAATTGTAGCCCACAGCTCCCTCCTCAGAAAAGGAGGAAGAGGCAGAAGAGGATGATGATGCTTCTGAGCTGCTGAGAGAAGCAGGGCTGTGACTGGAGTCGAGAGAGAGCCCTGAGTCTGAATCAAATTCCTCTTCCAAGCGGGATGCCTGCACTGGGTTGAATCCTTCTTCAATAGCCAAATCCATTAAACTAATCTCATCCAACATGGCTTCATCAAGAAGCCCTCCAAGAGGGTCTGGGAGTTCAGGCCCAGATGTTTCATTTGAAGTGCAGTTTAGCTGGGGAGGAAAAAAAATTCCACTTAGGTTGGTAGAGCCAAACGTGGTGTTGAAGCCAGTGGAGTTATCAGGAACCAGCTGCAGCAAAGCTGAGCCTCCAGCCACTGAGGGACTTTCAATTTCAGAGCTGAATAGGGAAGGAAAATCTTGTGTGCAGCCAGCTAGCGATGCCTGATGCAGGCTGACATTCTGGTTAATAGGGGTAGATGGAGCAAGGCTGTAGTTGGCTGTCAAAAGATCTGAATTTGGGTTGTTGTATAGAGTTTCTACAGCTATAGTGCTATTTACCTCCATGCTCTGCAAAGGAAAAAGAGATTGTTTAGATTTTGCAGATCTCAATACTGTCCAATTCGATCAACATCATAAAATATAAAGAGTCCCAAAAAAAAGTAACAATGGATTATGTTTCCATTAGCAGAATGGATATTATTGGTGGATCAAATTTACCCCATTTACAATTTTATTTTATTTTTATTTTATTTATTTATTTATTTTGGATTTATATACCACCCTACTCCCAAAGGACTCAGGGCGGTGAACAGCCAAAAAGATAAAACACACAAACTACAAAATTTAAAAGACAATATAAAAACCCATTAAATAATTTGGCCCAAAACAAATTAAAACACCCCTAATGTTTTAAAACAAATTTACAATTTACAATTAAAAGGAAAGTTAGGCCAGGCCAGCCTGTGAAAATAAAAAGGTCTTGAGGGCACGGCGGAAGGTGCGTAAATCCAGGATCCTCCGTATCTCCGGGGGAGCTCATTCCAGATGGCAGGTGTCCCCTCAGAGAAGGCTCTCCCTCGGCGGGCTGCCAGTCGACACTGTTTGGCTGACAGCACCCTGAGGAGCCCCTCTGTATGTGAGCGTACTGGCCGGTGAGAGGCTACTAGTGGCAGAAGGCGGTCCCGTAAGTACCCAGGTCCTAAGCCATGGAGCGCTCTAAAGGTGGTAACCAAAATCTTGAAGCGCACCCGGAAGACCACCGGGAGCCAGTGCAGCTTGCGCAGGAGTGGTGTTACATGGGAATGCTATGTCGCTCCCATAACCACCTGCGCGGCCACACTCTGAACCAGTTGGAGCCTCCGGGTGCTCCTCAAGGGGAGCCCCATGTAGAGAGCATTACAGTAGTCCAGGCGGGAGGTGACGAGGGCATGAGTGACCATGCGTAAGGAGTCCCGATCCAGAAAGGGATGCAACTAGCGGATCAGGCGGACCTGATAGAAAGTCCTCCCGCCACAGCCGTCAAATGCTCTTCTAAAGACAGCCGTGAATCCAGGAGGACACCCAAGTTGCGAGCCCTCTCCATGGGGGCCAACGACTCGCCCCCAATAGTCAGTGATGGCACCAACTGACTATATTGGGACGCCGGAAACCACAGCCACTCGGTGTTGGATGGGTTGAGCCTGAGTCTGTTTCTCCCCATCCAGATCCGCATGGCCTCCAGGCACTGGGATATCACTTCAAGGGCATCATTGGGGTGGTCCGGGGTGGAGATGTACAGCTGAGTATCATCAGCGTACTGATGGTACTTCACCCCGAAACCACGGATGATCTCACCCAGTGGTTTCACATAAATGTTGAACAGAAGGGACGAGAGGACCAACCCCTGTGGCACACCACATATAAGGCGCCTTGGGGTCGACCTCTGCCCCCCTGCCAACACAGACTGCGACTGGTCGGAGAGAAGCACGGTGTCCCCCACCCTCAACTCTTCCAACTGGTGCAGCATGATAGCATTGGTCGATGGTATCAAAAGCCGCTGAGAGATCTAATAGGACCAGGACAGAGGAACAACCCGTCCAGAGCCCTCCAAAGATCATCAACCAACGCGACCAATGCCGTTTCTGTGCTGTACCCAGGTCTGAAGCCCGACTGGAACGGATCCAGATAAACCATTTCATCCAGGTACTGGGGAAGCTGTCACGCCACCACACTCTCAACAACCTTCGCCACAAAGCAAAGGTTGGAGACTGGACAATAGTTTGCTAACGCTGCCGGGTCCTGTGTTACAATACCTAACACAGAGATAAAATCTGATCCAGTGGACCCTCCCATCTCCCAGAGCTTGGGGCACAGAACATAGTAGGGGGAGTATATTGGATTTAATTCCAAACCTAGAATCTTAGCACATTGGCCTGAAAACATGTACAGGTAGTCCTCGAGTTACAAATGGAATGGAGTCTGTCCATTCCATTTGTAACCCAAGGATTCGTGGGAGTGAATCTCGTACCTTGAACAGAATCACTCCCTCCTTTTGCCCATATATTCGCTAATCAAATGCATGGTTTGTTAAGTGCACATGAGGTATTTCAAGGTGGGGAAGGCCTTAAGGGGGCCTAGTGATGGAACAGGTCACCTGCTTTAAACCACCCAGGGTCCCCCCCGACCCACTGAAATACCTCATATTCCCCACAATTGTTTCCGCCCAACCTGCCACACCAGATCACTTAGTGTACGAAGATCTAGCAAGCTATCTCTTCTCCAGCCTCCCAGCCATGTATGCCCCTCTGATGCTCTGTTTAGGCCTGTGCAGGTCTTTCCTGACACTTTGCCGGCCAAAACAGAGCTTCAGAGGGGCTGGCCCACCCATCCGGCACTCCATTTAGGTCTGAGGAGGCCTCGCCCAGTACTTTGCAAGTAAATGGAGCTTAGGATAACCACCCTAGTCTTTATGAATAAGTCCCAAACTATGAATCATGCAGCACCACGGCAGTTGTTTGCCCTTACAAACAAACGCAAAGGCTCTGCAACATTCATCCTGCACTTTGTTGGCCAAAATGGAGCTTCAGAGGGCCTAGCTGGCCCCACCGACGCTCCATTTAGGCCTGCGCAGGCCTCACATGGCACTTTGTAGGCCAAAATGGAGGTTTGGAGGGACAGGCCCACCCATCTGAAGCTCCATTTTGGCCGACAAAGTGCCAGACAAGGCGTGCACACACCACAACAGAATGTTAGATGGGCAGGCCCGCCCATCCGAAACTCTGTTTTGGCCAGAAAAATGCCAGGTGAGACCTGTGCAGGCCTAAATGGAGCATCAGAGGGCCTCCGAATCTCCCTTTTGGCCTGCAAAGTGCTGGGTGAGGCCTGCATAGACCTAAATGGAGCATCGATGGAGCAGGTCAGGCGCTCTGAAGCTCCGTACTGGCCAACAAAGTGCAGGACGAATGTTGCAGAGCCTCTGTGTTTGTTCATAAGGGCGAACAACTGCCGTGGTGCTGAAAAATTCATAGTTTCGGGTGTTTGTTCATAGTTCATTGTTCACAAAATTCATAGTGTTTGTTCATAAACACTAGGGAGCACTTATCGCGTAACATCGAATGTTTGCTTAGGGAACGCTCATAACCCAAGGATTACCTGTATACCTCATCCACTTAAATGGACAGAAAACTCAGATATGGAATTTACTGTAAACAAACAGGAAGTAAATACCATGTTCTTAAATAACAATCTTATTGGTTACTGCCCTCTAATAATCAAGAAAGCATCTAGGAAGACCTAGCTATTGTTTTTCCTCAAGATATTTTCTACATACAAATGCACATCCTACCCAATTTTCCCCTCTAGCCACCAAATTTTTGGCAAAATAAAAAAGTGGGAGGAGAGGGGTTAATTACCTGTTATATAAATGAAACACTGCTACTACGAGATTCCTGGGCAAAAACTAAACATCTAGCACAATGTTATTGATCATGCTGCTGCCAGACCAGTAGCTATTTGATCTAAACACATTAGTATGTTCTAGAAATTAAAGAAATTTTAAAAGAAATTCCAGGGAAATCATCCATTACTGGCAGATATTTTTTTTTTTGAAATCCTGGCAAGAACAAACGCTATGTGATACAATTTAAGTAGAGGCAAGCTGCATGGTTGTGCATATGAAGGATTTATTCCTAGGTTGCACTGAATTATTAGAATCCTGAAGATTGTTTGGATTTCCTCTCTAACAAATGGTTTGGAAGTGTCTCTGTTTCACTGTCTTGCTGGCAATCGTTTAGTGCCACTCATTTTTCTGATTTTGATGAATACATTCAACAAGATGGTTTTAAGAAAGTTAAACTGTACAGAATTTTGCTTTTATCCTTTTTGTGATGAGTGTTCCATTCTATTGTCCTATCAAATGCTACAGGAAAAAAAGTCCTAGCAAGAGTAAAGAAAGTGCTCTGCACTACAGATACTACAAAGAAAATAAAATGTTCCGTTTTACATTTGACTGAAGCCTTGCAACACAACATCAATTCAATAGCAATATTAATTCTCTGATCCAAACTGAAGCCTAGAACTATGTTATGGGAAGATCCAACTTTCTTCCATTTCTAGAACTATACCTATAGGTCAATGGTGGCAAACCTATGGCACATGTGCCAGAGGTGGCACTCATCGGCCACTCTGTGGGTATACGCACCATCACCCCAGCCAGCTCCGTCGCGTTTCTCTGTCATGTTTCTTGCCTTCATTTGCAGGGAAACAAAAGTTTATGGGACTAAAAAAATGTGTGAAACAGCATTCCGCCTTCGTCATAGTACATTTGCTGTTTCTTTCTCCATGGCCTGCCCGCTGCTCTTGCAGCACTTTGTACAGCACAGTGAAATTTAGCATGCTTCACAATGGGGGAGATGGGGTTCCCTTCCCCTTGAGCCCATTAGGATGTGGAGCCACAATACGACCCTGCGTTGTCTTGGCTTGCTCTTGCATCCTGGATGTCAGTTGCTCTTCCTGCAGACCTTCCAGTGTTGGGATGCAATGCCTCCCCGCCGGCCAGCTGGTCTTTGGCTCTCCGCAGACCAGCTGAGCGTGGGTGTGCTGCTCCTGGGCTCATCAGCCTCTGAATGTCAGATTCCCACCACCCAGCACCAGTTCAGAGGTTCCTTCCCCCCACCAGGAGAGACGGGGGGGGGGGGGGGGGGGGGGGGAAAAAGGGGGGGGGGGGAAAGGGGGGGGGGGGGGAAAAAAAGGGAAGGAGGGGGGGGGAGGAAAAGAGAGAGAGAGAGAAACAGAGAGAAGCAGAGAGGGGGAGGGAAAGAGAGAGAGACAGAGAGAAAGGGAGGGAGGAAGGAGAGATGGGGAGGGTGAGAGAGAAACAGAGAGAGGCAGAGAGAGGGGGAAGAGAGAGAGAGACAGAGACAGAGAGAGAAAGAGGGAGGGAGGGAAAGAGAGAGAGAAAGAAAGAGAAAGAGGAAAGGAGGGAAAGAGAGAGGGGAGGGAGACAGAGAGAGAGATGGAGGGAAAGAGAGAGATGGAGAGAGAGAGGGAAAAAGAGAGAGAGAAAAAAGAGAGGGAGGGTGGGAAAGAAAGAGGGGGAGGGAGGGAGGGGGAGGGAAAGAGAAATGATATTACAAAAGCTTTTCTTTTTTATTGTTGCTAAACATAATATTTCAAAAGCAGACAAAAAAATGAAGGGCCATAGAAGTGCATTATCACATTTTTCTTAGAACAATTAGCGGAACTCTGCCTTGTTTATCATTATTTTAGGTAGTAAAACCTCATTATTCAGAGTAAATTGCTGTGTTGGCACTTTGCAATAAATAAGTGGGTTTTGGGTTGCAGTCTGGGCACTTGGTTTCTAAAAGGTTCACCATTTGCTATAGGTTGTGGCAAACTGATGCAAGCAGGACAAAGAGCAGCGCTAAATCCAGCAAGCATAAGAGATTATATTGTCCTGGAGAAACCAACACATGAAGAAATTGCCTTCCTCACCTGTGTTTCCATGATAGACATGAGGTCCTGCCACTGCTGCTCCAGATCAAAGGGCAGCTCTGTCTCTGTCAGAAGGGGAGACAGGAGCCCGTCTGACACGACAGAAGGCCCACCCTCGTTAGGCAGAGAGTCAGCTAGGCTGGGAACATCTGCAGCTGGAAACTAAAACAAAACAGCAGAGTGAATGAATAAAGTTTTAGGTGGTGTTAAAACAGTAATAAATCATTTTTCTTTCGTTTCAGTGTATGAAATTTAGAGGTTCTTTTGTCACATGCTCTAGCAATCCCTTCTCTTTCCTAAGATTTATTATTTACTTAAATATATTTAGCACTTATATAAAGACATGAATAAATAGTAGCTCAAGATATTATACATTATATTCCTACACAGAAATCATGTGAAGAGATTGGAATAAAGGATAAAGTTTAGCAAAGATGTTCTTAGAGAACCTCATGAAACAGTGAAAATAAGTGAGATTCAGTCTGTATTCTATTAACCTCCCTAAGACTACACTAGAATAAGGCCATGCAAAGGGGAGGGGGGAGATAAAGAGGATTCAATTTGCAAGACATACAATGCCATCATTTTAAAACAGACAAGGCATTTAGGTTAGTGGGTGAGCAAATTCCTTGATTATTCAAAACATTCTATTCTTCTCAAAGCATAGCAGACTTGCCTATCGCACAAGGTTATTGCAAGGACATGAGATGGAAACTCAGTCTATTGTTAAATTGGAATGATCACTGGAACTGACAAATAGAGTGAACACTAGCTAACTTTCTCCAACTGATGCCCTCCAGATGTGTTGGGTCCCAGCTACCACAATTCCACTTACCATTGCTGCCGATTGAAAATTACTGGAGTTGAAATCTGATATATCTAGAAGGCACAGCATTGCGGTAGGCAACCAAACTGTTCAGCTCTACTTCCAAAGTGAAAATATGTACCTCTGAATTTTCTCCAAAAGGAAATGTAGCCTCCAGCAATCTAAGACACTCCTCCAAAGACAAGGTTGTCTGATCCTCCACCCCAGGCGCCTAGGAAAAAAAAACAATATAACGGCCGTTTTACTGACACAAGGCCAGACTATGAAGATAATCTATTCCTGTGGTTTTCTAGTGTTTAATATTTATGTTATTTTTCCTTTACTTCTTTTTTTCCTGACCCTTAGTATGTGATATCTAAACTAAACCAGGGACAGAGTGGCCAGTGTTTTGGTACACAGAATCTGCTTTTTAATTTTTGTTATCAGAAGCTTCAGTGGTGATGATTTCAACTGAATAGAAAAAGAATTTTTTGCTTTCAGGGAATTGCAAGGTTGATGGCAAATATGGTTTAACTGTCATTATGTGTCTTTTAGAGTTTATAGTTTTTAGGTCTTCTCTCTTAAAATGTCAATGAATTACATAATCATTTTTAGTCACATTTATATATCAAAATTTGGAGACCACCCATATCACACACAAGGTGGCTCTGCGCAATTTTAGTCAGAAGGTACTCTGGAGGACAGGTGGAAAAAACCCCATATGTGGCCATGTGCAAAGCTGTGGCTTAAGGTGTTCCATCCGAGTCCAAAATAGCATCATCTGCTCAAAAATTATTATTCTCAACAAACATTAAATATATAGTTAATCCAAAAGGCAGAATTTCAAGTGGCCTGTCCAATTTGTACAGGTAGTTCTCAACTTATGAGCACAACTGAGCCCCAAATTTATGTTAAGTGAAAAATTTGTTAAGTGAGTTTTGCCCCATTTTACAACTTTTCCCACCCAGTTTGTTAAATAAATCACTGCAGTTCTTAAATAGTCACATAGTTGTTAAGTAAATTAGGTTTCCCCATTGACTTTGCTTGTCAGAAGATCGCAAAAGGGATTGCGTGACCCTAGGAACTGTCATAAATGTGAGTCAGTTGTCAAGTATTCAAATGTAAATCACGTGATCACAAGGAATGCTGCAATGGTCATAAGTGTGAAAACTGGTCATAAGTCACTTTTTCCAGTGCCGTTGTAACTTCAAATGGTCACTAAATGAACTGTTTTAAGTCAAGAACTATCTGTATTTCATGCCCATCTCAAGTACATATATCTCATAACCTATCCCAGTAAAAAACAGAAGCAGCAAACGAATTGTAGAAAAAGTTAAGTGCTACAATTAAGATAAAACTTCCATTTACAGGCAGTCTTCAACTTACATTCGACCACAATTGAGCCCAAAATTTATATTGCTAAGTGAAACATTTATTAAGTGAGTTTTGCCCCATTTTATGACTTTTCTTCCCACAATTGTTAAGTGAATCACCGCAGTTGTTAAATTAGTAACAATGTCGTTAAGTGAATCTGGCTTCCCCATTGACTTTGGTCATCAGAAGGTCACAAAAGGTGATCAAATGACCCAAGACACTGCAACCGTCATAAATATGAATCAGTTGTTAAACATCTGAGTGTAAATCATATGGCCACGGGGAATGCTGCTATGATCATAAGCGTGAAAAATGGTCATAAATCACTTTTTTCAATGCTGTTGTAACTTCAAACAGCCACTAAACAAACTGTTGTAAATCAAGGTCTACCTGTACTTCTTGTTAGATGAAACCTACAAAAAGTGCAGCAGAAAATTGTTCTGAATGCCTGCTTCCCAAAAGAACAGTGCAGCTGAGACCTTAAGTATCATTGAAACAGAGCCTATTCTGCCCTCTTGAGGGCTATTCTCTTCCCTGCATATGAAGCAGAAGAAGATATTGGAAAGACTGAACTTGACAGTCAGCAGACTGGATATACAGATCACAAGAATTTGGGCAACAAACTCCATGTAGCCTCTATCCTCTATCCATTGAGGTCCAACTAATAAGGCCCCGTGTGTGTGTGTGTGTGTGTGTGTGTGTGTGTGTGTGTGTGTGTATCAAATTTATATTTCACTGATAAAAAAATAAAGGAAGACCAATACAGATCTATTTCAAGCTATTTAGCTTTCATCAACTAGCTATACCTTTACTTGGATTTGAACTTGGGCTGCCTCCATGTAGCCAGTTGTATTAACCTCTGAGCCACAAGTATAAAATGGTTTTATAATGGTTCTGATATAAAATGGCTTGTCATGAATGCGACTGCTTGAGGGCTCCTGGATTGGAGCTGAAAGGCAAAAGGGATGCAGTACGCTTCCTCCCACATGCTGGGGCACATATATACACACAGAACCTTATTAGTTGGATCTGTGTGTGTGTGTGTGTGTGTGTGTGTGTATAGATACACACACACACACATATATATCCATCCACTGAGTTCCAACTAATAAGGTTCCGTGTGTTTGTGTGAGTGTGTGTATATGTGAGTATATGTATGTATGTGTGTACACACACACGGAAACTTATTAGTTGGATCTCAGTGGATGGATGTGTGTGTGTGTGTGTGTGTACACACACACATATATATCTCCATCCACTGAGGTCTAACTAAGGTTCTGTATGTGTGTGTGTGTGTGTGCGCGCACGTGCGTATATGTGTGTATGTACGTATATGCGTATGTATGTATGTATGTATGTATGTATGTATGTATGTGTTTATATATATATGTGGGTGTGGGTGTATATCAAATTTATATTTGCTACCAAATATAAATTTGGTATAAAATGGTTTGTCGTGAATGCGACTGCTTGAGGGCTCCTGGACTGGAGCTGAAAGGCGAAAGGGAAGCAGGATGCTCCCTCCCATATTGGGGTAGACGAGGTGCTTCGGCAGAAAAACACTTATATATATATATATATATATCCATCCACTGAGGTCCAACTAATAAGGTTCCAAGTTTATTTATTTATATATATAATTTATTTAAAAATAAAAAGCTCAGTTTAGTTTAGTGTGTAAGCACATTAAAACACATAAATAATTTGAGAAGATATAAAAATAGCACCCAAAAGAAAAATATGGTAGACAGTCTACTTCTCGGAAAATGAACTGAACTACAGGTTGCAATCTTCTTTACTGGACTGGTATGGAGTAGAATGTCAGAATGGTAGGAGAGAAATCTGTGCTTCCCCATCAGGGTGTTTTTACCTGCGCAGGGAAGCTCTCCCCTGTCTCGCCATCCACTACCTCAGTTCTGTCAGCGATGCTGCTGTCCCCTCTGTTTCTCCAGCCATCCCCACATTCTTCACCGTTACTTGGTTCTTTATCCACGTCGTTTTCTTTCTGGCGGTGGCTGTAGTCAAAAATTTCACGTCCAGCACCAAGGTCAATATCCTGTCTCCACAGGATATCAATTAAATCTATATCCTAAAAGAAAAAAACAGGGAGAAAGAAACACCACTGTCTCTCTTCATCAAAAAGACTTATTCAGGAGGATGACCTCTCCTACAAAACTTCCAGGACAAATGCCTCCAGCTTCTATACCCAAAGGACCACCATAACTTCATCCATTCTGTGACATAGGCCCCACACCATCATTTGACCCCACTCACCTCTAAGTGCCGCCCTTCATTCTGAATGGGGTGTGGTCCCTCCTCCCCTGATCCTTCCCTCGACCATCTCTGCTGCCGTGATGCTCCAGACATCTCCCCCCCCCCTACAGCCATCCTGCACAGGGAGCTTGCCAAGAGTGGCTCTGCAAAGGGGCTGCTCCAGGGCCCAAACAAGGGACTCCATGGACAGCAACTGAGCTGTCTCCTCCTCCCTGCCCATGCTACGCAGTAATGTTCTCTCTGTCCAGGCAGGAGTCTGCAGCTTTAACTGCTCAGACGGCTGGCTGGGTGAGAGAGAGGGAGGGCCAATTGTCATTCCGGATTGCTGCTCCATAGCGGGCTTGCATCAGCCTGTGGTGCCATTCTGTCTATTTGCATAAAGGGGTGGAGATTCTCTGCATTTTCAGCCACCTGATGCAACTTGAGAACCCGGCTTGCCATGCGTCCTATGCCTTGCCAGCTCCCTCAGCTCCACACAGCTGAGTTGCCTACCTTAACCAGTCCTTTAAACTGAAAACAATCACTCTGATGAATGCACTCTAAAAAATCTGCCTGCTTCTAACCGTAAAGCAGTGAACAGGCCTCCTCTACAACAGACTTTAAACAAGATTTATCATACCTTAAATTTTTCTTTTTCATCCCAAGCCCTACAATATCCTACAAATTCTTCTACTACAAAGCAAAGATCACCCAAAGCTATATTCATTCACATACTGCAGCAGGATGTTCCTTTCATTCAGGCCCAGAAATGCCTTCCCATTCTTTGGGATTTTTTTTTTTTTTTTAATATTGCAAACAAACCTTCTGGCTGAATGGGGCTGATGGTCAGCACTTGGGGCTCCACCCTTCTACATTTCCATTTCCAGTGAAAATCACATCGAATTATCATTATCCCTATATAATACATAAGTAGCAAAGAAGTCTCAGATTAGGGATGGCAAGTGTACTCATTTCAAGTTATTTCTCCTTGTTCCAGACAGGAACATAACAAATTAAATCACCCTTCATTTCAGAATACCAGGGAATATAAAATACAGCAATATTATAGTATTTCTGATTTGTCCACCCAATTTCAAAGCACTGATTATTCCATCTATCTATATAAGCAATAATTCAGAATAAGCTTGTTTCTAATATTTCTATCTTAATTTAATCATTCTAGTATTCACTCAAATCATTGGTTTAGTATTTCAGAACTAATTTACAAACAGACTGTTCTGCAACTGCTAGCTCCTCTTTCCAACCTCAGACTGATTGCCCTAGATCTCCCTAGACTTTCAGCATCTTCAGCTTCAAAAGACTCAATTGTTTTTTCATGGCCTAACTGATCATAAACATGCATTTGGATATTTTCTTCTTCTTCTCCCTATCTGTCATTCATTCAAATTAATTTAAATAATCCCCTCCCTAACTGCAAAATACAAGCTTTCTTCCATGGAACATTCAATGCAAATAAATTTTTTAAACGAAACAATCTTTCCCTCTCCTTTAACCCTTTCACCAACTATTTCTTCAAATTGAAGATCCTAATCCAAATATATGCCTATTCTAGTTACTTCCAGACTATGAGTATTTGGAAGTGATTGGGCAGTATGGATGGAAAGACCTGATAATGCTTCATAAGGTACACCCTTTGCTCACCCCAACTTCCATTGTAAAGCAGGCCACAACACCCCATGGGTCAAAGACATTCTTAATTTCAAACACTGCTATCTATTTTTCTCAATTGCCTGCTCCCTCTTACAAGTATTCTTATTTTAGAATTCTGTCAATCTCCCTCCTCCTCCTGTGAAAATCACTGGCACAAAATACATAATCATCAACATAATTTTCTTTCTATAACTAAAGCATCATTGAAACTAAAATCCACATAAATTAAGGATTCAAGCCATGATTATACCTCTTCCTCATATATGTATGATATTTTCCAATCTATCCCTCAGCCAAGGTATGGCACATTCTTTCCTACTGCACATCTTTCCAGTACATTGTACCTGAGCTTTATCTGGCCTGAATCTATCATAAAAGCAAGCGGCAGACAGGCGTGAGGGATGAGAAAAGAGTTAAAAAGAAAGGATACCTTTCTCATGTCCCCAGCTGCCGCTCCCAGAGCTGTCCACCCAGATCATGGTCTATGTAGAGCGTAGATTCCGGGCAGGCAGAGCTGGGTGACCCGAGCTGAGTGCCGGACAGACATCTCCAGTTTCAGTTAGCAGTTGCTCTTTTTTTTTGGCAAGCTTGCTATCTGCCCCCAAATTGTTTGAAAGCCCCCCTCCTTTCCAGCATGTGACCCACAGGTGCTGTGCTATAGCCAGTCCTCCTCCCTCCCCTCACTCCAGCATGAGATCCAATCCTCAGCTCTCTTCTGCTTGTCGTTTAAAGAGAGGAGTTCCGTCAAATCCCCACCCCCTGCTCAATGCCCAAGCTGCAGAGATGGAATCCCCACCCCATGTGTTGTGCTGTGGCTGCAGTGAGACTGAGACAACACCCCCACACACGCCCGTTACCTAGGCTGCAGCCGGAGGCAGTCCCCTCCCCCAGGTCACCGCGGAGGATGCAGAGGGAGCCAGACTCCGCCCTGTGCTGGTTACCTAGGTTGCAGAAAGAACCAATCCCTTGCCTCTGGTCCCTGCTGAGGATGCAGGAGAAAGTGCTCCTCCTTGCATTCGTCACCTAGGATGCAAAGCACACAGCCAATTGCTTTTTAAGCTTCCACCCCACCCAAGCCGCCCTGGGAGCTGCAGCAGCATTCAGGTCTCTGTCTCCTTGAAAAGCTCCCATGCCTGGATGCCCCACCCAAATCAGGCAATGATGGTTGCGATGGTGCAGGGGGAACAACATTAAAGAAGCCTTTCCAGATAGACCTGAATATTTTCTTTCTCTCCCTCGGAGATTACCCAAAGTTCTCTTTCTCATCAACTGAGATTTCATTCACTCTCCAAAAGAAGCAGAAGAGTGGCAGGCAACAAAGTAGAGTGTTTTATACAGGTAAGAGATGAAAATCAACTTACAAGGAACTTTTTGACCCTATAAATCAGGATTAGAGCCCCCTTCCTCCCCAAATCCCCCCAATCAATAATTATCCTGGAATTTTAGTTTCTGATTTACAGCTTTCAGAAAACAGATATAAAATAATGGAATAAGAAATGCAATCTCTCTTTTTACTCAAGTAATTTTCTTCCAATTCCACTAATAATGAATGAGACATCACTGGAAGACAGGTGGAGAAGTCACCAGATACAAGAAATGCATACTAGAATAAACACCATACATTAAATGAAATTTTCTTATTTTTAGGAAAAGAAAGAAAATGTCGACCAAAAGCTTTCCACCACTGAAGATTCAGTTTATAAATTCCATTTGTTCACAAGTTATTATGATTGCACCACATTTACAACACTAGCTTTGCAGACATGAAAGAGAGGCTTTGTTTGGTTCAATACAGGAATCTTAGCAGAAATTAATGCTATACTTTGCTAGATGTTATATTCCAAGAATAATGCATTTTTCCCAGCTATAGGGTGTTCTTCCACAATAAATACAACTCTAAGTATGAGTGTTTTCCAATATGGCTGAATATCTATAAATCCTATAGTGCAGCAATGCATTTTTGTTTTTGTGTTGTCCCAAGTTAGGCCACTAGATTAGGGCAACTAGATAATTAGACATCTTCTAGCTTGTAAAAAATAAAACAAAACAAAAAAAGAACTGTGTATTGGACTGAGAATAAGAAAGCCTCTTCTTTGACAAAAAGAGCTTTTGAAAGCCACAATCATGTCAGCTATTGAAGCTGACCTCCACTTTCAAAGAGGTCTTAGTAAAGAGGAAGATGCTGACATAGTATATCTTCAGCCTATTTAATTTAATAATTGGTTGTTTTCATTTATATCTCCTTCCATAGTTACTTATCCGAATATCAATTCTGAGTTTCTGGCCTTTATACTTTAGCAACACATAAACAACAGGCTACGTTAGTAAATACAGAATAATTAATCTTTAAGAAGTATTTTTTCTGTATGAAAAACAATTCTTTTCAATTCAAGTTTTATTCTGGGCATCAGTTTTTAAAATATTGTTTCAAGAAACCTTCCGGGACTTCTGGACCTATATTCAACATAGCCTGTCTGCATCCAGGACAAATCATATACTTTCCAACAACAGGGGAATATTATTTAAATGATCACAGAAAGATTAATCTGTTACTATAGGAAAAAGTACATTTAACAAAATAGTAGTAAAAATAAAAGCAAAAAAACCAAACTCTACCAAACCAAAACTGAGGGTTTTTTTAGAATTAGTTCAACATTTCAGCTAGTACTTCACATTATATTCTGACAGCTTGTCAAAAGCTTACATCAGGATTTGGCTCCTTCAGAGTTCAAACATAGAGCCCTCTTTTCAATCAGATGCAACAGATGGTAATAATAAAATATTTTCACAATTTAGCCTCAAGCTATTGTACAACTCATGACTTTCACGTGTAGAAACAGTAATAACACTTTAATAAAAAATGTGTCACAGTATCATACTCCTTGAGATATGGCACCGTTTTTGTAAAAACCATGTCCTTGGTTAACAATCCCAATTAGGAGTAAACTTTCCATCACTAAAGCAGTTGTTAGGTGAAACATCATATACCACAGTGCTTAGCATCAGCAGTTCCAATAGTCCTGGTTACAGTTGTTAGGTCCAAACCACACTGGTATTTAGGCAAGGACATCAAATTTCTGACCTACTTGCCATGCTCGCCTCTGCTTCAAATCCTCAGCCTGCTTATTTCCCACCCATCTCTGCCTTTTCAGCCACCCTGCACTT